TGAGTGACAGCCCCAAGGACTGACGCGAGGAGGACGAGGACGTGCTGGAGGTCTCGGAGGGTGGCCGAGCCGTCTTGATCGGCGTGGCTGTTGGCGTGGCGTTACCGCTGGACTTGAGGCGATCGTTCTCCGCTTTCAGTGTCTCAATCTCGTTCTGTTGATTGACAAAAGAATGAGAATTAGAAAACTGCATTCAAAGACTCCGATAACTGTCTGCTCAAATAGCAGACGGTCATTTTCCTGCATTCAAGCTGGCCACTGTTGTTATTCTGAATCAGTATTATTGGAATTATGGGCTGTAAGCGGCTTTTTGATCTTGAAGGCTCTCTTTGTACTAAAGGGTAAGTCTCAGATAAGAAGCCTTACATGATCCCCAGATCTGAGAGGAGACTATAGGCTTCTACAGACAAGGCAATCCACATCCACAAAGATCCACTTCACTGAGACATTTAGGGTGAAATTCTTTGAACATTTGCTTCTTTTAAGAATATGAAATGACGCTGCACCTCTGAACATTATACTTTTAAATGATGATAGGTGGCGTCTCATTGCAATACATCAGTAGGAATTATATAAATAAATCAGATGTGTGTATTTGCAGGGAGAAAACTTCGCTGCATCTTTTTATTCAGCTTCATGGGCAAATAAACAATTTCATTCCACCTTTCTGAAGCTTCTTTCCATTAACTTTAAAATTGAAATAATAGCAACCTAACCCTAACCCTAACCCTAACCCATTAATTGCCTGGTTTGGAGGTGATACGGTGTGCTAGCTCACTGTGCTTCGTGATAGCTAGACAGCTACCTAGCTCTTGTTTTTTCATTTCCTTGGAGTTCTCTACATCTTTCTTGCTGAGTTAGATGAGAAGACTGACACCACAATCAAGTTTGAATGGTTAATTTGTAGTTGGAGCCAGCGGCCAGTTAGCTTAACTTACATAAAGAATGAAAAAGTCCATCTAATCACTATTAACATTTTATATCTTGTATGCTTAATCTATATAAAAACTGAAAAAAAGGACTATTCAGGGGGTTAGGTGCAAGAATATTTCTTGACCTTTACTGGTCCTGGCCAAGAAATAGTCTGGTACATAAACTATACTCTTTCACTTCCAATGTCACACAAAAAATCTACTCTTTAATATTGTAAGTAAAAAATATTTCCTTACTGTTATTAACTTTACCAAATCCATTTCTGAGTGTGAAACTGAACTGTCTTTGCTGGGTTTAGAGCTCTTAGTGTAGTTCCTGAGTTCCTCTGGGGCCATAGTTCCTGGAATTTATGGGTTGATAAGGGGCTTTAACATTTTCCTATCATTACCTATAATTCAATAGCTGACCTGCCACAGTGTACAGTGTATAAATATATTATGAGAGGCTCTGTTTTGCTGTGTGTGTGTTAATATGTGTCAAAGATTAGCTAGTTTGCCTTCAGCCCTCCTGGTGCCCTGCTGGTCCCCCTGTAAGACACCTGAATGCATTGTTAACTTCCTAACTGGTAGCTGTCATGCTCCTGCACCTTTAGGGAGAAACACACTACTTTAACCCAAATAAACTGGACAGACAGAGTGAGGTTTTGCCTGTCTGAAGGACAACCAAACATATTTCTTTTTCCATGTGATGCAAGAAGGGTATAAACATGACTGAGGGCAAGACAGAATCATTCCTGTTTGGCAAACAGAACTACATCCAGTTTGAATTTGATAGTTAGAGCGGAGTTCTTCACCACAATGATCTCCAAACATAAATAGCTGTCCACAGGTCAGTCAGCACAAGCTGCACCTGTGTTTAGCAGTAGAGTGTGACCTCACCTGCATGCGGTTCATGGCCTCTCGGATCTGGTCCAGGTGGTGGGCGGAGCTAAGTGCCTCCAGGCGGATGTCTGTCAACTTAAGCTCCTTCTCCCTCAGCTCGTTCTTCAGCTGGAGGACAATTTCAGCCTCAGCTTCGGTGCATTCGCAGAGCCTGCAACCGGGATTACACACAGGGAGGAGGAGGGGGTCACCTCGAGGGTTATACCACACACACACACACACACACACACACAGTCTGAAGAGAAACATTACACACTTAAAGGACACAAGAGAGCTGAAGTTCAAAGGGAAGCTGGAGTCAGTGGTGAAAAAAACGCACAGGTACAACATGGAAGTGACATTTGGGACAACGAATCCTTCCCATTTACAATGTTCATTATATTTTCCACCAGGCAATCCGATGACATTTGCTAGCACAATGAACAACTGAAATACAAAAGTTGCGGTTATATTGGAGACCTTCTTTAGTGTGGGATATACAGTAAGTGCTGTGGTGGTAGCCCCATCGTGATTCAGATATATTTTCACAATAAACAGGCAGAGGTCTAATACAACAACTAGAGTTAGATGCAATGCTATTTTGATAAGTCGAAAACAATTCAAAAACTGGCCACATGCTCTGCCGCCTTCTTAAAAAGGAAATTATCGCACCAGCTGCTACACAGCATACCAGATGTGTATAATACTTGCATGCTTGTTGCTGGTTGGTGAAATAGCCACATGTTGTCCCTTTAGCGGTGACATAGAGCCAATTTGTTCTGGTATGAGCAAAACAAAAACCTTTTTTTCACCCTTTATTCAGTCTACTGCTACTTTCGGACACCTCAGAGGTTCTAGTCCAGTTTGTGAACCAGAGCGATCATCACCTCCGACATGCCACACACCAACACACCCCACTGCACACACACTCCCTGGGAGCATGCCACACAGTGCCTATTACCGAGATCTGTGCTTGTAGACCATGTGACCGTTTTGCTTTTTCTTTGTAGTCCAAATGGGGGAGGACTTGCTATCACAAACGCACTTGCTACAGCAGGTAGAGAGACGTTAAAGAAAAGGATGAGCAGAGTGGTCGTAAACAGGGGTAAAGGAATGGTGAGGTGAGGATTAACAGACATTTGTGAAAACAAAACAAAAAAATAACAATGAAAATAATTTAGACTTAGACAAGAAAAGGGAACAAAACAGATAACTGTATATTTTTCAAGTTGTATACATAATATATGCAAGTGTGTTCAAGGGGAGAGAATTACACGTGTATATGTATGTGGATGCATGTGTAAAAACTCACTCTGTGGTGGAGGGCGAGGAGCGCAGCGTGGCGATGCTGCCTTGCCTGTTGTCGTGCTGCAGTTTGGGTGAGGACGGCAGCGAGTCGCTCATCTCCTCCATCTCGTCGTGAGCTGACTGGGATTTGGTTTTCTTCTTGCTGAACGCCTGCTTGAAGGAGCTGCGTAACTGCAAGACAGATAACACAAATACACACAGGGGCAGAGGCGTCAATATCGCCACCCACCGACCTCTATAATCACAACATGTCAGTTCTAGTGACATCACATCCTGCCAGATCAGGAAGTTACTCCGTGCTGTTTCCAAGCAATGGTCACTGTCTGGTTTAGGTAAAGAGGGAGGCAAAAAGCAAGGCCGTAAGTAGAGATGGAAATGGGGACCAGGCTTTTTAATGACCCTAAAAATGATGGCTGAACAAGCAATCAAAATGAACAAGGGAGGAGGAAAAGGAGGAGGGAGGAACAAGGGGGGGGGGGCAGAGGAAGGGTTGCCGTATCCATGCCGACGTTTCCAGAAAGAGGAGAAAGAAGAGGTGGCTCTGAGAGGGGGAAGAAGAAGGAGGAACATATAAGGGAGCGAAGGAAGGGGCGGATCGGGGGGGACAACCACAGCACACATACAGAAGACACTCTGGAAGCCACTGACCTGAGCCGGGATGGAGTCAGCCACCTGAAGATGCAGAACACACCCAGCGTTAAGCCACACAAACACACACTCCTGCTCACTTGAGGAGTGATTGAAGCTGAATGCTTCTAACGCGTCTGATTCATTATTAACATTTTTTACCACTCGTTGACAGCCTATGAAAGGGAACATGGGTGTTCACTGATTTAAAATACCTGGTGACTGCTATTCCAAAATGCTTACTGGCATGACAGGGAGGAACATTATGTTGTTAATGGCTGTCTTATAGCTGCACCAATCATTTTTTACATGAAAGCGGTTCTGAATGGCAGAAAAACCTTGAAACACTTGAGAATGATCCTGTGATATCGGTGTAAATTGATTTCAGTGTAAACTGACAACGGTTTATCGTATCATATCGTATCACATCTTGTGGCGTGGTGTGTTATATAAAAGTAGTTAGGTTTGTTTTTTTTCTCATGCTCATGACATATTCCTTCCTGCAGTGATGCTTTCTGTCATATGTGAATTGTGAAACAAGTGAGAAATAACTTGAGTTGTAGGTCTTTTTGCACAGGCAGCTTGGTTGGTACTTCATAACACATAATTGCAATTGGGGTTTGGGGCTATGCTTTAAAGCAAACTGATGATTAGGTACTCATGCATAGAAAACACATGTTTTTTATATGGTTGTTAAGTGCATTTTCTTTTTTTACAAGACCTACAGTATAAGTACAGTATGTGGCACCAAGCATATACAGTAATAAGCATGTACTACAAGATGCTGCATGAAATAAACAGGACAATACTCATGCAAACGAGGACACACAAACACAGTTCATCTAGGTTCAAGTAAATTCATTTAAACATTTTACAACACTGCTCAGAGCATTCTGGGAAATGCTCCAGTTTTTCCAGCTACCCTGAGCAAGATAAGCAGCAATAGAAAATGAATGGATAATGAATAATAATGCACCACTTCAGGACCTGTCCCTGCCTTATTGAAAGACCTATTCATTCGTTCATTCGTTTTATCCTTCCGGTGCCACTGCCTTCTTAGTGACCTTAGTTCAACTCTATCCGTGTCTCCACTCCTATGTGCACCGCAGCAGAACTTTATGCAAATGAATAATTAATTGCTGCTTAAATAAGGGATTGATTTGCATACATGAGCCTGACTTGAATTTTTTGGGGTTCTCACTTAACATGGCAGGCTAGGGTGTCACTCTCGGTGGTGAACTTTTGGGGCCGTTAGCATGCATTTCATTTCAAGGGCAAGCGTTTTGCATTGCAGCTGAGACTGAAAAACTGGCTCTGGCTCTGTGCTCTTTGGCTGAGACGGAACTTCTAATATGTCATGTGTCTGACTCAGGGGGCTGCAGCAAATAACAGCTCTCCAGCCAGTGGGGACACTGAGCTGCTATTGCAGAGTGAAGCAGAGAGCAGTGAAATCAGAGGGAAAGGCAGAGGGAGAGGAGAGAGCTTCATGGTTGTGTATTGCATTTTTAGATCATTTGGCTTTTTGGCTTTTTTTTTGCCTTGATTTGTGGATATTTTTGGGTACTTTTCCCAAAAAGACACATAAGTTAAAACAAACTTTGTGGAAGATGTATGCCAAACTTGTCCAAGTCCAGTTGAGTAACTGAGGGATTAAGAACCCTCCAAAGTACTTTGACAGTAGATGTTGAGAATGTTTGTCTTTTCTGCCCAGACTTTCCCACTTAACACAGAGACTAAACTGGCACTTGTCTAACAACTATTGCCCTGGTTTCAACCTGAACTTCAGTATTCATGATGTTAGTGGCCACTTTGCTTCTTCCCAACCTAATTTGCATGCTCTTATATGTGAAATTCAAAGTGCGTCTCAAACAATAATTGCAGGGTGGTTGACTCCTCTTCCTGACCCCTCTGTTAGCCCTCACCGCTGAATGCTACCACTCAGCCGACACCGCCTCAGCACTGTAATTTAGCAACTGGGATATGATGGCAGACTGTGTGTTGTAAAGGCAGAAGTTAATGGGATTTTAGACTTATGGAACTCCCAACATGTCTTGCCTCCACCCGCAAAAGTGTCCAAACACAAAAAAACACTTTTAAAGTAAGAAAGCAAGTGTTGGCTTGATCACAAGTGACAGTAAAATTGGACCAGTTATTCACAGGCTGAATCACTTACACAGCCATGCACTTCAACACCAATTTTTCACAAGAGATGAAAGAGGGAAGAAGAACGGGAATGCAAATCATAGCAATAAATAAAGGTGTATTGCCATTTGGGGTAGAAATCATCACACTACTTTTGTACTTGTGCCACCAAAGCAATCCCAGTCCTCCTGAGCTCATGGTTAGGGTCAAGCTTAATGCAGGTATGTTCAGAATATTCAATGTGTTCTACCTTCACATTGGGCGGATTTTGAAGCCCTTTTAGTGGTTGCAGCAGTACAATAAGGATTTTTTCATAGATCCACAAAAATGCCTTCATCTATGTAAATAAGTTTAATGCAGGCATAAAGAGTATATTTGGATTAGCTTAACTGCCACTGAATAATTCATATGTTTTTGAATTTGGTCTGTCACGTCCAAATCCACCTCCTGAACAATGACTAGAAAACTAAATGTAAAAATGTAAGGCTCCCGGTGTCTGCTGCATGTGAATGGGTAGGTTTGAGATGAAGGCACTTGAGTTACAAAACCTGTAGGTGCACCTCAGCACCCAAGTAGCAGAGCGAAATTATTGATGAGTTATTTACAGCTTTTGTTTATTTGTGGCAGGGACCTGAAGTTTGTCTTTCATATTTTCTGGCATTCTGTGCAGTCGAGCAGTTCATTATTTTTGGACTCAACCTTCCTTTGCAGCCTTTGTCTCACAATTCTGGCAGTTTCTTTAGTTTCTCCACCTACCCAGCTCTTCTTCTTCTTCTTTTTATCTTCTGCATCCTTGCCCAGACTGCCCATGCTGGAGTGACTGGCTGCGCTGTTGATACTGGACATACTTTCTGAGGAGTGCTGCCGTCTAATCCGCAAGTCTAAAAATGACAGAGACAATCTTCCTTATTGTTCTGAAAAGATGAGATCATTTTCTCTTTAAAGTTATAATACTTACAATTTCAGTCCTGGTTGATTTGGGTGACACTTACAGTGCAGCCAAACAAACTCATGTTATTTTAATAGAAGTAACCCAAAAATAATTGCAACCATGATCTGATTTCATGTTGCACAGTGTGAATAATTTCCCGTACACATTTTTGATGACTGATCGCTGTTAGAGCTAATTTCTGCAACAAATGTGTTTCCTGTGGCTACTTCAGGATAAAATTGTGTTTTCACCATTTAAAAACGTTTAATGTGAACTAGCAGCAGTAAGAAATGTTTGGTTAGGGTTAGCAGTAACTTAATATAGCTCTGATACAGCTGTAGGTGGATTAACATGCGTGTATCATTTCCTGTGAAGCCCCTGTGCATGTAAAAGCAATTTGTAGTCAGTGCGGGAATGTCAGACTTTTGCTGAAAAATGCAGATCATAAACAGTATCAGAGTTTGATTTCATGGAAATCTTAAGAATTATAACTTGGTTAGATACTTGAAAAGGTAATTTCACAAAAAAAATTACGCATCTGATCCAGGTTGCTTGTATGACCAATCAAGGCTTTCCAAAACTGACCTATGCAGCACAAACACTTCAAGTATTAGGGGTTCAACTCCCCCTGGGGCCAATCAGGATGAAAAATGTACCCACTCGTAGAACAGTAAGGCATTTAAGGCCACCTCAAAACATGAGATGATTTGAGCTTGGTCCAACACTCCCTGCTGGTTTCATCATTACCTTTGTGTAGGTGGTCAGGGCCGTTGAGCGCCACCTGGATGGCTGTCTGGGCGTCGGTGTTCTGGGTCTTTAGAGACTCTATCGTCTCCCTCAACTCAGCCAACTCAGACTCCTGGAGAGAGAAACTGTTTTTAAAGGATGACGCACCACAAACTGTTCTTCTTTTGGCCAAGTGTGTGGAATCATCACAAAAGCTGCGTCACTGGAAGCAAATTCTTAAATTTGGCACTGGCATTGCTTTCAGTGGAAGAGAATGAGAGACAGAAATGAAGGGAGGGTGTTTTGAAGAGTCTCCCGGAGGATTTGCCCCAACCCTAGCACCACCTGCTTAGAATAAAAAAAAAAGCTCTACTCTGTTGAACCAACACGATCAGATTGAGGGAGTCTTCTATTCTGCCTTCCCTTAAAAAAAACACTGAGGGCTGCAGATAGGGTTTCTACTTTAATTAAAAGTTGGGACAGCCTTGTTTAACAAAGACATCCCACCAGATCCCGGGCTGCTTTAATTTATAGAGGATTAAAAAGCTGCCAGGGCTCGTCAGCACTGTGTGTGTGTGGATGTGTGAACAGAGGGAAGCATTCATAATTTGTGGATATATCTTTGAACATATTGCTCCTGCTGTGTGATCAGTGCTTCAGCAACATTCAAGCTCTTCTGAAACCTCCTGTCAGTAAAAGAAAAGTTGACTTGTAAGAAAATGGAGAAAAATAGACCTTGGAGCAAATAAATGCTGGAGGATTTTTGGAAATTATACTGGTTTTAAATAGACGTTTGGGCCTTGGGTTTGTGGAATATGTGGATGCATGCCCATGCAAAACTGGACACTTACTTTTTCTAGTAAAGTTAAGAGAAATATTCAGGCAGCAAACCAAAACTTCAATAAGAAAACCCTTCTGTGAAAATGAAAACTTCAGTAGAAAACCTAACATGAGTCAGGAACTGAAACTTAAAGATAAAAATATCCATTAATCCGCAACCGCAGACCTCAACACTGTTCCTTTCCTCTGCACTATTTCAATGTCACACATACCGTTGCCTGTTTCTAATCATTCTTCCTCCCTTTAATCCCTTTGCCAAGCAATTCATATGCAGTATATTTCAAACTCAGGACTAAGCTCTTGTACCTTTTGTTCAGCGGTCATGGTGAGGCTCTGCAGGCGGCAGGTCATGTTACTCAGGCTCTTCTCGAAGGCTGCCACCAGGTGGGCCTGCAGACACACAGAGAGACACAAATACAGTCTTCAGCTTCACTCACTGTGACATTTGTTTTTCCTTTAGGCAAACTATAAAAAAAGAGATCGAAATAGAAGAACTTCATGTAAAATACTGTTCTAATTCTCTTTAGAACATTAAAACTAAAAAAACTCAATATCTCAAAACTGACCGCATGATGAATTTGGACTCCTATCCATAGTAAAAATATGCTCAGTCAAAATGTACAGTGCGATACACACAAAATATCACTTGCCTATGTATAAATCAATATTCATGAATGTTGAATGTTTTGAAAAAAAAAAAGTCCTATACAGAGAATTATAAAGTTGATCTGCTTGGTAAGCTTTGAAGTGGATTTTAACTTGAGCCAAAGACGAACAAGACTTCTGTGCAAAGTTTGTTTGCCCACAAGTGTGAAAGCTCTCACTGTGCCCCTCCTGAAGAGGTTCCCGTCCCCAATAAAGAACTGCTGCTGGGATATCTAGCTTTAAAAAACAAAACACGTAGCCCTTCACTTTGAGTCACTCTCAGATTTCAAGGACAAGTTCACATCAAGCATGTTCAGAACGGGTGTATTTGAACAGGGAATTTGTTAGATGTGTTCTATGTGACTTCACTGTTGCATCTTATTGCTGTGAATTAACCATCATGCTCCAAAAACATCTTTCTGGGCTAATAAGTGAGAAAGATATGGATATCACAGAGGCATGCGGATCAAAAAGGGCTGCCCTGCCTGACTTCCTCTGTCACCTGAAGACGCAGCAGCAGCACGCTGAAGGACAGAAATGCTTCACGACGTCACGCCATCTGCTCTGCTCAACCTGTATGTGTGTCAGGATTTGTTTGTGCATTTGTTTTTTAAATATATGTTTATGTCTGAATCTCTGGTGAAGCCTTATGTTCATGGTGGTGTGTCCTTGTGCAAATCTGAGTTTGTGTGTGTGTGTGTGTGCTGCCAGCTCATCCTCCCCTCCTTAGCTAGAGACCCTGAGACACCTGTCAGGCCTGGTGTGTCACAGAGAGGTGGGCAGCATGCCCAGACACATCAGACAATCTCTGCTTAACACAAAAATACACACACACACACACACACACACACACACACACACACACACACACACACACACACACACACACACACACACACACACACACACACACACACACACACACACACACTTGCATAATTAGATAACTTTTAATTACTGAATTTAACAGCATTAGTTACCAAATGTGCAATCTAGCCCCAAAACAGCTCTGTCAGAATGAGAAAATTCCATATCTTTCTATCCTTGTTAGGACTGTAGGACCTCATGAATCTAGAAACAAATACGCACGCACGCATGCACGCACGCACGCACGCACGCACGCACGCACGCACACAGTAGCACCCTGTGCTGCCTCTTCCACTCTGTGTCCCTGGCTGAATCAGCAAAGGTCTTGACCTTTAGAAATGCCAACTGTTCCAGCTCATCTCTCCAACTCCACATCTCTTTCCAACTCCACCTGTGAGCTTCGACTCAACACCCCCCTGCCCACCTGTCCACCCTGTGGGAGGCACCGATCGGACTCTAACGCATCCCACGGCTGACCCATCTGTCCTGCTCCTGGGGCCCGGCCCGGGCATCCACGCTTAGCCCCTGAACCCCCGTTTTTCTGACCACAGTCCTGATCCTGGGGCCTGGGGTAGAGGTTGACGGTGGGCCAAACTACTGAACCGGACGAGGAGAAGCCATCGGCGTTGGTGTGGCCGGGCACCACCGCTAAAGATGTGGATGACATCTCAATGGATGAAGTGGAGTCACGACTACAGTGGTCTAAGCCAGCACCTACTGCTGGGCTACATTCTTTAAACACTACAGCAAGAAAGGGAGGGGTGATGAGAAAGAATACAGCCAGAATGAGGGAGGAGGAAAAGAATAAGAAGAGCAGGGAGGGGTAAGCAGAAAGGGAGAGGCGACAAGGACAGGCTGACACAGTGAAGGGTGAGAAGAAGGAGATTGAGAGGGGAGGGGGAGAGCCTTTGTGAACTCTTAAACCCGATTTAATGTCAGTCCAGGCTGAAAGCAAAAAATACTGAGTGGTACAATGCTTCACCTGTTAGGCAGCATTTGTTCTTTTTAATCCCTTTGACAGGATGTTGGTTTTACTAATTCTGCTTCTTTTTGATCAAATAAAACCAAAAATAAACACGTAATTAATCAAAATGCCATCTGATGAGTGTATGTAATCCAACAGGACAGTGCAGCAGCAAATATATTTTTAATGTGAGCGTCATTTTCTATGAGAGCGTGCCGAGGGTATTGACACATCCAAAATACTTTATTTAAGATCCAAATTCAATTCAAAAAGACAATAATAATTATGTTTGTATGCAGTGGCACAGCTAATGAGAGAGATCAGATGACCTCAATCAATGAAATATTTCCTCCTGGCTCTGATGAAAACACAGGAGATGAAACATAAATGCATCCAACCATCCTAAATTAAACACTCAAGATCATTCAGCACATCTTTCCCCCACAAAGCACCCTCCCTCTCTATTTGTAAAATATACTCTTGACAAAATCATGACTCAGTTTTGGGGATTTTAATGGTTAAACTTTCAGGATTGTGTTCCTCTGTATGTTGAGTTTTAACACATGTGACAAGTTCAGCTTGAAGTCACAATGAAATTGAAATGACCTTTTAGTATACACACCATATTAAAGAATAAATGGCAAAGAAATTAGCGTGACATAATATCACATTAAGGAAGTAATGGGATACTTCTTGAGAAGCTGCCATTTTGAAAATACCATTTTTTTTCTCTGTGGTGACAATATAAAACGCACATCAGAGCCTCTAAGTGCGCATGTAAAAATACAGAATGTACAAACGCATATATATATATTTCTACATGTGTTCAGAAGTGTGTAAATGATTAAGCGATGTCACAGTGAATGTCTAGTTTTGGACCGTGGGTGGAGAACATGTGAGGACGTTTCCACTCCCCACTGGGAGGATAAGATGAGATTATAGCACCAGCAGCCCACCACGCTGTCATGCAGATACAGTGTGATCCAGTACAAGATATGTGTTTTTTTTCTCAAATTCCAAGCCTCCCCACTGTCTACCCACTTCCCATATGTGCTTTACAGCTCCCCCGAGTGGAAGCTGTAAAGCACATATGGGTTTCTGTTGTGCAAGTGTTTGCATATGGCTTGGCACAGTAAGGCAGGAGACTGGTAGCCTTTCCCGCTGCTGTTTGGATGCTCAGTGACCCTGTTAAGGGCCAGTCAATATCAACAACAGATATGGTGAGACACTGGAGTCCTTTATTGAGATTGTGCCTGGGATTATATCTCTTATTAAATCATTTTTTTCCCTACTCTAAACACTAGCTGCAGGAGCTAGGGCAATAAAATATATGGGCAAACTTTTATTTGAAGGAGTGTGCATAAGACAAGAAGGAGTTTTTATTAATATTTAAGACTGTTAATTAAATGTCATTCAGTGTCACTAATAATTCACTTGACCTCAAATAAAGTGCCATTTAGACTCATAAAATGTTATAAGGCCAGTTTGAGTACATTATCGAGGTGATTTACAGAGTTTCCTGATGGACCGATAGCTAGCTTTACTTGTTGCTAAGCTAACTGCTTCCAAGTGTAGTTAGTGTAAATTGCTGTTCTCGCCATACTTGACTAGTTCTCAAAGGTTTTATCTGCTTCAAATTGCGATTGTTACCACATCTCTTTCTTGCTTGTTGCAGGATAATGGCAATCCTGCTAGCAGCTTTTCGAACCAGCTAGTATCAGATACTGTGCATCATGATGCTGCATCTGCCGGCTTTTACTTTACTATAACTCTTAAATGTATTGAACATCACAGGCTCTCCGATTAAGCATTGCACCCCTTTAGTTAGAGTCCTTGTCAAAATCTGGCACCTTCATTACCCATAATGCAACTCGACAGCTGCCGGTTCAGCTTGAGATTCAGCTGTGCCATGCCAGAAGCTGCTAATGAAGCCTCAAGCCTCTAGCTCCTAGCAGAGATGAGGAATGGGCTACAGAGGCCACACCACCAGATTTATAGTCTTCAACACCAACTGACGCTGACTCAAGTGACATCACTTGAGGATATTTGTAAACAGACTGATGTGTGGAGTTCCCCTTTAAGAGTACTGCATGCTGAGTTATTCCACTGAGACTACACTGTAAATGTAAAGATCTATGAATAGTTACAGTAAATCTATGTGAGACTCAACAAGTAATTTCACATGAGTAAAACAAACCAAAAGTCGTTTGACTGTCCCTACATAGCTCTTACACAAAGTCATGTCTCCATCTTCTTTTTGTCAAGTTTTCCTGCAGTTTAGCCTTCAGTTTCAGCTCTGCACAACTTTGTGATCAAAGCGTCGGACCGAAGCAAAGACCCCGTCTGCCTCCACGCTTGATCAGGCACTTGGCATCAAGCATTGGTGGGGTGGCGGGCTGAGCCGAGTCACACGCTGGAGTTTGTCGATCTATCTGCATTTCAGCACAGAGACAGCTCCGTCTGGGGGTTGGAGGTCTCTGTATCTCACTCTGTTTCACCCACGCATGACGCACTTGAGTCTAGATTCACTTATCCTCATCTCCCTGTTCCCTCTGTACGCCCGTCTACCTCTATTTGATTCTCCCTGCATGGTTGAGTTTGGGAGAGGCTCCTGTTCTCACTGAAACCCCACCAGCTGAGACAAAAGCAAAGAGACAATCCTGTCTGTACCGTAGACACACACAAGAAAACACACACACACACACACACACACACACACACACACACACACACACACACACACACACACACACACACACACACACACACACACACACACACCCCAACAAAAATCAAACAAGCAAAAGCCTAAATACACGCATGGTGGCTTCAAACACAGAGAAAAGGAATTAGTGGGCGTCTCAAAGATTTATATTCCTTCCAGAGCTTCGATAGGCAACACTTCGCATAAAAGCTCTCTGACAGCAGGTTATCATGCAAATGAGCCGGCTGTTTTGACGGCGTCTTTTGAAGTAAACAAACTCACATTGGCAGCCAGCTGAGACGTCAGGGTCGCCACCTTCTCCTGAGAGGCGTCCAGCTCCCGGCGCAGCTTTCTGATTTGCTGGTTTGAGGAAGAGAGCACAGAGGTAAACGTACAGTTAACGCTGCTGAAACACATAAAGAAAATATGAAGACTGATTGTAATGCAAAGAGGCGTTGAACTTGCAACCCCCTTACTGATATCTTTGATGTAAAAAACTGTGCAGTTACATGATAATAATGTGTAACAAAAGACACTGGGGTGAAGTGTGAACACAAAGTGTGGGGGATTACCGTGGAATTTTGGACAGTTTGGCCCTTGATTGAAAAGAGAAGAGTAAAAATTAACACTATGTTGCATGCCTCCATCAAACAGCATGTACTGATGTGGCTGGAGAGAAAGAGGTTATCACAAGCCACAGCACTGGTTTTCTCATGGTTAGTTAGACTTGTTAGACCAGCGAAGCAAGATATGTAGGTAAGTATTCCTGACCCTGGTCAAATAGTATTTGCAAATACCAGATATTATGCCAGATGTGAGAGCTTACCAAAGTGGCCAACACAAATAGTATAAAGTAAGAACAATCACAAGAAACAATTTGGTGTCCTTCACATTGAAAATCTTCAATCTCCCTTTCTGGATATAATCTATATGACAAAGGACATATTTCTGTTTTATATCGAACACATTTCCTGGGCAGTTTTTATTTTATTTTATTTTATGAGATTAGGTTTAGGAGATTTTTACTCAAGTTGAGAATTTCAATTAAGTTCTTTTAATGATTGTTGTTTCTCATTCTCTGTGCCAACACTGATCAGCCAAGTTAGTGTTGAACCAACATAACAACACGTTTCAAGTAAATGATGACAAATTCAAGTCATGTGTGGTCTCAGGATCCAAAAGTAGTAAACATCAACTATTAGTCAGTTTAAAGGAAAAAGAACCAGAATTGGGTCCTTGTGGTTCCACACAATGACTGTAGTGTATGATTGTCAGTTTGCACTGCGTGAGTTGTCTTAAAGTGCAAACTCCACCCATCTGGCAGGCTTAAAACAAACACTGCAGTGTATTTGCAATTACTGTTTGATCCGGGCTTGAGCTCAAAGCACTAATAAACAGGGGCAAGGACAGAGAAGAGACAAGAAAGGAACAGAAATCAGAAAACCAAAGCATGAATCTGGAAAATCAAAGAGGAATCAGCGATAAACTAAACAGGATTGTTGAATAAAGCCAAACATAAAAGAGCCAAGGGGCAGGACATGCATTACATATGTATAGTGTAAGTGTTTATAGTGAGTAAATTATATAAGCTATGAAGCACAGTAAGGTTGTGTGGTTATTTATAACCAAGATGAAATAAATGCAAAAGAGAATAATAATAAAAAGCAATGCAACATAGGGTTAAACTGCTTTATTGTAGAATCTGATAGTATTATATCCACCATCACTTTCCTTCCATCAAATTTAGCTGAACAAATATCACTGTTTGTGCTTTGATTGACTCTCTCTGAATAAAGATGCAGAGCAACAGACAGACACAGAAACATAAAGACATACAGACACAGAAACACAGCCAGCAGTCACCCAAAGGGCAGCAAAACATGCGTGTGATATGGAGGCTGTAGACATGAATCCCACAACAAAAGTCAGGCAATTAAAACTACATAAGAAAAGTCCTCTTTTCTTCCTCCTAGCTACTTTTGAGGTACTCATGAGCAGGGTACTTAACTCTAAACAGCATCCGCATAGCTGTTCAGCGGCCAACAGCTCAGCTGAGCAGCTACAAACTGTATGAATGTGAAGCAGACATGCACACTGATGGAATATGAGCCATGCTTACCTCTGAGTGTGCTTTCTCCTCCGTCTGTAAGGAAGAAGAATAGATCATTTAAAAAATACATACTGGCTGTGTGTGCTCAATCAAGCAACTTTTAAAAATGAATTAGAATATAGAGCAAGAGAAGCATTTCAATATCACTGAAGAGACATGATAAAATGGCCAACACTCAGACGAAGAGAATTAAACCCAACTTTAATTTAAAATGAGATAAAAGTGAAGTGGATGAAATCAGACAGAAAACAAAATTGGAAATTGTTTTGATAACCACAAAACAAACAAATTAATTTGACCTGAGGGAAAACTTTGTAAACAGAACTATATCCATCAGTCATCCAGGCCTCTCCTCTGCAACTTGCGAGTGCAATTGGAAAACAGGCGGAGGTGGGTGGCAATCTATCCTTCCCCCTAAAACTAATCTGCTGCCTGACTGAATGTTAAGACTGGAGCGCTGCCTGCGCCATTAGAAAGCCAACACTTGTCCAGAGTCTTACCTGCCAAAGTTAAGTGAGAGGCATGCAACGATGAAAAGTTAGTTTTTACTTCTACACAAACAGAAGGGACAAAACAGAAATACTGGAGAGTATGTGAGATTTAATGCCACTCTAAATGAGTGGGAAGAGCTGAAGGCTTTGATTTAACTCCCACTTAACGTCCCATTTAAAAAGTCCAGATGATTTAAGCTTTAAAATTGTCTCTTTTGTATGCAACTGTTTCATAATAGCATATAGTTTCTGTTAAATTTAGCTTTTTAAATTTGCACCAACAATCAAAATCAAGGTTAAACTAAATTTAGGTTATAACCCATGCGTTTGACACTACAAACACCTTTCCCCATTACATGTAATCCTTTGATACACTGTTTCTATAAATAGTATATTTATATTAACAGTAATAGTAATCCTATAATAGCATTGTGATTGTTGCAGCTTTAAAGAGGAGTTTATGCCATGATCTACAAGTTTTACATATGCAGGATCTGACTGTAACACTAGTGGTATATTTAGGAAGAAAAGTTGGCTACTTACTGCAGAGTACAGTGAAGATGTGCTGGAGACCAGAGACAGTGAAGAGCCGTGGACTGTAAGTAGAGAGTAATGAGTGGCAAACAAGGTTTAGTAAAATACTTGACTGTAAATACTTGTTTCAAAAATGAATATGTGACCCATATAATATTTTACCTTCTCTAATTAATCTGACCATGAGCAAGTCATTTTAATTGCTTTTTTATTTATTCTTGAGCACCCAGCTGACTAATTAGCACTTGATTGCTATGGTAACATATTCAGATGATGATAAGCTGGGAACTGTTACAAGAAGGCAGTGAAAAAAAATTATGATTTGCTCATTAAAAAGCTGACCTCTATAAGGATGTAATCACTGCCTCTTATATCACCGACAAAAAGATCAGAGCAGAGCGAGCCATCAGCCAAGTCACTCGCAGTATGAGCACACAGTGAGAGTCCATTAAATCTGGTATTAAAGTACTTGATGATTGATGGAACTTTGCTTTGGTGAATGTGGCCCTAAGCTTTTTTCTAATGGCTTCTTAGTGAGAAGGTCATTTTTAGAGACCACAGTTCACCTAAAGAGTGTGTTTAAGAGAGGGTCCCAGAGTGTGACCTACCTTCGTCAGTGCTGTCCCTGAAAGAGCCGGAGCGGCTGATGGCCCGTGGTCGTTCCTCCAGGGAGGTTGCGCTGCCACCCAGTGGGTGACCCTCTCCGTACAGGTCAAAGGAGTCCTGGGCAGGGATGCTGTTGGAGCGGCTCATGCTGCTGCTGCCTGGTGGCAGGTTATACTGGCTGATGTTAGTGGGGCTCACTGCACAGAGGAAAAAGGATTTTTGCATGTGTAAAATGCATCAGTGATCACTCATTCACGCAGGAAATAAGAACCCATTTACTGCTAGACGTGATCAACTAATGTTGTAGATGTGCTATGAATATTTCAGGACTGTAAGATATTTTTAATCACTGCATGGAAAATGTTTTATTTAATCATACATATCCATGTCATACAGTCTGTTTCCCACACAATCCAGTGTCTACTGTTATATTTGACACATTTTAGGAACAAACTAAATTAAAAGTTGGTTTAAATAAACATTGTTAAACCAACTTAAAGTCATGAAAAATACAAAAATTATTATATTGTTCTTATAATCTTATTATTATTCTTAACTGCAAAATAACAGATGCAGAGTGAACACTGCACGTGCAACACGTCACTAAAAAAAGGTGTGTGGGCTACTCTGTGTGGGATCATTTGGCTTTAGGTACCTTTGTTTTCATCATCTGTTGGTCCTTGTTGGTTCTGTTATGTCTGTGATGTTTGAATTCAAGCTCTGAGAATAACTGCATGTATCAGAGATCCACTTTGATTGCATAACTATTTTGCTCACTCAAATGATTATTTTTTGAACATTTGGTTTATTTAAGTTTGTTTAAAATCAGCAGTACTCTGGATCATTAACAATGGCCAATGGCCAGTTTTATAGACTCTACTTTATACACTCTTGGCTGTGAGAATGCCATCATATTTACATGGCCAAGTAAAATCACTAAGATAAAATACAAAAATTGGATACTCATTGGCCATGGACGGACATACTGTACTATTACTCAATGATCTATTCCAGATTTGCTACAGTTCGAGTGTATTCCTATAGACTTACGCAGGTTGGAGTAGTGGTATTTTCCAGTGGTGGTGCAGGAAGCTCCAGGAGGAGACAGAGGGGACTGGCTGCCTGTGTCTTGAAGCCCCCCTGTTGAATGGGACCTCAACCACTCCTTTCCTTCCTCATGGGACGTCTGCCGTGAGGACGGAGGGTACCTGAGACCCACAAAGACACAGTAAACTCAAGGCAAAAAGAGAGTTGTTGGGAAGTGGATGTAGGGAAGTGGATGTAGTGAAGTTGTGTGGTGATGAAATGAGCTACAAAATAGAACCATGTGAGCAAATGGTAAAAAAAAACATGCAGCCTCACCACACGTGTCCACATGCACGCACCTACACACATACAGTCATATACACACACACTGCTTTGGCTCAAAGCTGCCAAACACACTGACACTGCCGTTCAACTCTTCTCTCCCCAGCTCCAAAGTGGCTCAGCAACAGAAGGCCCCCTTATCGCAGGCATGACAATCGGCCATATTTAATCCTCTGAGGATGATAATTGAGTTTGCGCTCATCCCTTTTCAGTGGCCGTCTTCCTTCCAACACCCCCATTACTACGCTTGTCACATCTGACCCCGCTCCAGTCCCCCCACGCCTGTGCTTCGTACTACTCCACCAGGGATTGGGTGCCTAAGAGTGTGTTGAATGGTGCGATACAGCGGCATTCGTCCCTCACCAGAGTTGAAATGGAACAGACTGAAATATCCAAGGGTCAGTGTTTGACTCTATATACTAAGTGCTTACAAAATGCCCATAAGCTGGACCAACATGCTTATTTGTATGACTAAAGGGGGCAATTATTAGTCTTGTAGGAAATCTAAAGATCAGGCAAAAATGCTGCCTGCTTTAAGATGTGAACAGATGGCTGGAAAAATTTGTGGTCAGAAAAATCTGTTGAGAAGAAAACACTGCAGTCTGTACTGAACATCACATCCAACAGGCATAAAGTGTGGTATAAGATCAGATGCTTTTAGGCCCAGAAGAGCAAGAGCACCATATGCCATGGAAATGAAAGAATAGTTTGAAACCAGCATGCCCCCCTCTGCAGCAGTACTGTATAATTTGCTTGAGAGGTTGTTCCCTGCAGAGGCCTTGCCACTGTGATGAATGGGTTATGGTATTTCTGTCTCAGTCCCTTTAGTCCCAACTACATTCAAAGTATCCATTCTACTTCTCCCCCTCAGCTAACAGAGCAAATGTTATCAGGAGGTTTAGACCATTTTGCAGAGCTGAGGAGGAACTGCTCTGTCATGGCGGCTGTGTTTGCCGCATTTCTAACAGTGCATGAGATGAGAATCTGATGAGGAGGCACAAAGAGCAGCAGACATGCAAACAGACGGACAACCGCATTCCTGCCTGATCATCTGAGGTGGCATTCATACTGCATCAGAATGTTTTGCCTTACTTAAAGACAGTTATAATCTAATCTGAACTTCAGGATCTGTCATACAAAATCAGATCCAAAGGAATGAAAGAGTTTGTGCAGGTAAAACAATAGGTAAAAGATTGAAAAAATTGTGATCATTAGGGTCTGGGAAGCCACTACTCAAACACTACTACTGATACATAAAGTAACCAAAATGTGTTGGAAAATATAAGATAACAGATGAGAATGTATTTTGTATTTATTTTCTTCGTAATGTATTACTTTCTACCAAAAAATCTCAACCCACAGATAGTTGAATTTGTGCAAATATTTGGTCCTGCAGTGTGAATGCTGCATGAGATCATCAGAACATTTGCCATCTATAGATCAATGGTTCCCAACCTGTTTTGTCAGTGAAGTGCCTTTTTCATTAACATCTGCTTATGTCAACCATTTATCCATTACTTTAAGCTAACTGTCTTAACTGTTTAAATCCATTACATTACATCCATTTGGCGCCCATTTTTGACCAAAGCAAGAAGAGAGCTAGATATCTTCTAACTAACGGTTCCAGCTGTTTATCCATTACCATTACTTTAAGCTAATCATTTGAACTGTTTATCCATTATGCTTAGCTAGTTTATGCTAACTATGTTGTTCGACCATTGATCAATAGCTTTGGGCTGTTTCAACTTCTCTGCCTGCTTGCTAACTACTTAGTTGTAAAACTACAATAGGTGTTATCATTTACTCAATATGCAGATATGTGTTTTATTCTATTGTTTTCAAATGTGTTGAGCTTCCTCATCTTTACACCTATCCTCAGGCACCTGCAGGGTACAGGTACCCCTGGTTGGGAATCACTGCTATATCGGGTGCCACACCATGCCACATGTACAACATGGAAAGTACACTTGACATCAGAATGATTATTTTCATGCAAATATATATGTGAGAGAATAAAATAACAGTTGAGAATGGGATCTGGCTGCAGATGTGTTGTACCTCAGTCCCTTTTTGGGAAGCGTGTTTCTGTCAAGAGGCATGCTGTTAAAACACAGAGGATGAGTGAATTAGATGAACACTAGAAAACATTTTTTTTCTGTGACACGAGTAAAAGACTTTGGTCACATTTTACAAACTTGATTTTTGACACACACATAGGCAAAGACACACACAATGGAGAAAACAAAGACATTACTAATGTATCACAGTACAACAAATATAAAACACAACCAATATTTAAATCAATTGTTTCATTTTTTGAGACATACAGCTAAACTAGTAAGGGAAAATAAATGTGAGCCCTTTTTATTCTATAGATCTGTGATGTATTGCATGCACAGTGTGTGGACAAAACAATGGAAACACCCTGATAAAGACTTCTCATGGGAATGAGCGTCTGAAATGATCAAAATTTATTGTGGGACTTTTTCTGGCATGACTTTTGGACCCACAACTAATATTGTCGCCTTTAATGATGATCCCAGAAACACTAAGATTGGTAACTGGTCAATACAATAAACAGTGGAAAAGATGGCAGGTCAGTTGGGTCAGTGAGTAGTAAAAGGGTTAGTCATTAGCTATATGCTGTAATATAATAAGGGGAAACTGCCATTGGGACTGCTTCACGTGTGTCCTCACCAAACTGAACTACATAAACACAGTATGTTCTGAATTTAGATTTTGGATTATTATCTTAACATTTCAAAACCACACCAGAAAAAATAAACTTAAATCCAAATAAACTGTGTTCTGAATGAGTGAAGTTGTTCTTATTATTATCATTCTTCATATTATTATTATTAGGCTTGCTCTGCATTGTATATCTATGTCTTAGGGTGGGTAGATACACTTTTTGTCTCTGTTCTCAAATGAAACAATGAATACGATTCAGCCCAATCGTATTCCCTGTTACTCACCCCTCAGACAGGGTGGACTTGACACTGCCGGTTCGTGTGACCTTGGGCCCGTGGTGGCCCAGCGGCAGATCAATGGACTCAGAGCTGGTGTGCAGACTGGTCATGCTTTGGCAGCTCAGTGTGTCCTTGCTGCCGGCTGACGAGCTACAGGCAGGCCAGGGCCGAGCGTTGGAGGGCAGGGAGAGGCCAGAGGCCGGGCTGGAGGCTGGGGAGTCAGTGCACAGGTCTGGGGTTTTGCCGTACAGCGGGCTGCTGCCACCGCTCAGGCCGCCAGCGCTGCCCAGGCTCCCCGTGCCAGAGGAGGGTGAGTCCAGACTGGCCTGCCTCGCCAGCGTGCCGTGGGGGCTGCCCAGTATTGAGGGGCACTTGCCAGAGTCGGGCGTGCCCGGAGAGCTGGCCTTGCTGCTGGCTTTGGTGCCAAACAATCTGGGGGTAGAGAGGTGGGTGCAGTCATTTAGAAATGCTCAAAGGAGCATCTGCAAGATCCATACTGGAAATATAGGAATTTGGTATACTTTGGGGTGGATTACATTGAGGTTATCTAATGTATATTACATAGGAAATTGTATTAATGCATTGCTCACATGCATCAAGAAACTCAGTAGAGTGAAAAACATCCCCACATCTTTATTGTAGCACCAACGTGAAACTACAGAGAAAATACTGAGCACACTTCCTAACACGTTCATCCCTTGCAGCAAACTCCACCTCATTTCAGCTGTGAACTCTCAGTAATTTACATCGACACATCTGCTTTCACAGCTTTGCCCGTTTCAACCCTGTGACTTTAAATAACCTAATCTGTTAGGCCACTCAACTCTGTTTGCCTCCCACATATGCTCAGACAGTCTGCTACTCATACTGCGCCTGTCCCAGTCTGTCATCTCAACCACATAAAATATATAGGTGATGCTCTCTTGAGGAAAAAAAAAAAGAAAAAAAGCTTGAAGACATGCAGATGAAACGGGTTGGCTTGACAGATCGGATGGGACGGATGTTTGGACACGCCTGCTGAACGAATGCTTCTAATGAGTCAGGGATTGGCGTGCAGATAAACTCCTGTCTCCTGTCTGTTCAAGACGGCTAAGTTGGATTTGTTGACCTGAATGAAAAGCCATCAGACCTTCATCTTCGGGGGTAAAGATATGTTTCATCTGCAGTGGCTTATCACCTACACCTACACCAGGGAACAATCTATGTAATGGCACCCCTTGGCTGTGCAGCCAAGTAAACTCACTTAATCAATTTTTCCATGAAGGCGCTGAAATGTGATTTATTAAGTGTCTTATATTCATTCTGCGCATCCAAACATATCTAAAATTGATAGAGATGACAGAGTATTTTTTAGCCATGGTGTGACTATACCACTACAGATGACATCGTCAATAAATGGCCCTATCTGTTACAGGAGCCTGGGGAACAGCCTGCATCAGGAAAACATCTCTGAGCACCACAAACATGAGTTTGTCATAATGAATGAAAACACCCTTAAATTCTGAAATAGATGTGTCGATAATATTGTCTGAAACTAAAACCTAAACTTATATTGTAAAATAACATCCCTAACTGCTGATAATCAAGGGACTGAAAAAGTATGTGATGAAATGCTTGATCCACGTAGAAACATATATGGCGAGGGACAAAGACAGAGCAGAAGCTGTAGGTGAGTTTTGTGTGTCTGACCTGCGGAAAGTAGGAGAAGCAATGTCGGGGTACTTGGAGCCCGGCTGCCTGAGGCCTGTTTGACCTGTTGAACTGGAGGTGGGGCTGGATTTGGGGGAGGTGGATAGCCCTGCTGCTGGGTCCTGGTCTGACACCGCCACTTTCTCCTTGTCTGTCTGGTTAATGGTGATGGGACTGGAGCGGTCGGAGCCCATTTTCCCATCTCTGCGTTTGGCGCCCGCTTGCGTCGCTGCCCCTCCGGCCGACTTGCCACTGACGTTTGAGTCGATGCTGCTAGAGCTGGAGCGATGCCCGCTGCGACCCGCTGCCACCCCACTGGAGGATTTGGCTGGTCTGGGTAAGGACCGGTACTGCAGGGTCACTTTGGAGCCACTGCAGCTGAGTAGAATGCCATCATCTTGCGGCTGTGAGCCATCCAGGCTGGTCTTACGCACACCGCCGATGCCTGCGCCTTTGCCAAGGGCAGCTGAGGATTTGGGCGCCTTGCCCAGGGTGGCTGAGCCGCTGGTGAGCGTCGCACCACTGGATGTGATTAGGGTACCAGTGGGACCTGGGATCTTCTTGTATCCAAATGAACCAGTGGTTGGTGGGCGTGCAATGCCGGAGGGAGGTTTCTTACCTTCGTCTCCACTACTCTTCCCAGCATCTGAGGGTGAGCGCTGGATGCCAGCTGAACTTTTAGAAGGCGCCTTGCCCTTCTCTGAGGCCTTAGCATCATCAGTTTTGCCTGTCAATTTGCATAAACACTTATTAGCACAAATACAAAAACATTATCCTCAGCAGATTCATGGCCCAGTGCTCCTTTTATCACCCGTGGTGCCACAAAGCAGGAAAAGCCAAATTAGTGTACATTTTGGCTAACAGCCAGCTGCATCGAAAACCAATACCTTTCTGGAACAAAGCTGATAAACCTGCTGAGTGAACTGAAAATTTAAGAGCAACTGCAAAGTCTCCAAACTCAGGTATCAGGGAAAAGATTCATCAAATCATCAGTTTTTGGCCACAGGAGGAAAAGTACAGGTTAAAATAATAGAAAGAATGATGCCTGAACTCCATTTAGCTGCTTCAGTTTCAGGATCTTGAGTGCATGCTGAGTCACAGTCACACTGTCATGTCTTACTGGGATACTTAAAAAGAACAGAGCTACCATTAATGTTTAAAACACCTGTGATGTTCCCTATCATGGTAAATGAAATGTCTGCTGTGAGAAGTGTCCATTAGAAGGTTATCTCAATAAATTATACTTGTGATGAGTCATTAAAGAGTTGGTAAAAATGGTCAACATCTGTTGGCATCTGTAGAGAGAGTTTAGGTTTCTAAGTTGCGGGGTTCAGTGCTCTGCAACAGTTGGTGGTTGATGTAGTCAGATGCACACTGATGAACTTTGATACGGTTTTAAATAGACTAACTTTAAAGTTAACTTTAAAAAAATGTCTGAAAGGAAAACAAGTTTAAAGGCACCACAACTTACCCTTTTTACGTAAACACATAAATGTTTGTACATAAAGCGTTCTCTTTCAGCACCATAGTTGATTGAACTTTTCTTTTATCACTAAGCCAATTTTGACACACTTGGATCTGAAATAAAACAGCACAGCTGGAACAGATAACCTCATAAATTATTGAGTTTCACCTTAAAAATCTGTGTTTCTCCGACGCTGTGTGACAGACAAAGGAAGTCCTGGAGGGGCTGCATGCTGAGCTGCTACTCAAGTTACCTCAGCTTGCTTTTGGCTTCATATTTAATTTATTAAGGGTCCCCTACAATGAAAAATACTTTTTCTGTTTTGGTACCTTGTGGCTGTGGATATTTTGTCTTACTACCTGTATGATTATTTGGAAATATACCTGCTTTTTTCCATATGTTGCAAACTTTTGCCTATTTTCAAAGTGTCACTGATACAGCTTGTGTCAAACAAACACAGCTTGGGGACAACCCAGTAAACCCCTCTTCACACTGAGCGTCATAATGTACTTCATTTCTACCAATTATGTTTCAAGATAAAAAATGTCTTGCATCTCCTACCTGGTGTTTTGAGGGCAGCAGAGGTACCCTTGGACCTGGGTGGTGTGATGCCCACCTGGGCGGTCATGCCCCTCCTCCATGAGCCCGTCTGGGACATCTGGGCCAACGCAGCGGCCTTCTGACCGGCCTCCTCGTACTGGCCCTGGGCTTGAGTGGAAGATGAGGAGGATGAGGAAGGCTTCCAACGGGAGGAGCCGCTGCTGGGGTCCATGCTTGCGTCCAGCTCCTCCTCCACCTTCTTCAGGTCCTCGGCTCCGGCCCAGCTGCTGCTCACCTCCTGCTCTGCATGCTTGGACCTGCTTCCTCTCTGGGACTGCAGGGTGGTGGTAGTGGTGGGTGTCAAAGAAAGCATAGAAGATATTAATAGATGTTACAGTAAAATAATTAAATCTGTGGTTTCCTAAAGTCTCTTGCAGTGTCCTTAAACGCACCAGTGGGGGGTACCTGCTTACCACTTTAATACCACATAATGTGTGTTAACAGAAAAAAAGTATGGTCACAAAAATTCACAATAATAACCAATTTTAAGCAATTTAAATGTCTTCCTTGGCATACTCGTGAAAATATTGGTACATAATAGTAGTTTAAAGCTCTGGTATGATCCCTTATGAAGCGTTATTTAAACACACCATAGCCACCATAAAGAGATACAAGTCCCTGCACAAACAGAGCAGCAGGGCGTGTGTGTGTGTGTGAAGCTGTAGCTATCTTTGGAATCACCCATGTCCAGATCTCCTCTTTTGGGACGCATACAAACACACCCACAAACACACACCCACACCCACAGCAGTGATAACTAGCCTACCTTGACAGATGGCCAGTCTCCCTAGCAACACCAGAGTCTCTTAAGAGCCCAGTCTGTTGAGTATTTCATGAGGGGCCAAAGATACTTGGCAGAATACAGCAGAAGCTTGTGATAAGAGCTGAGCAGTGGCCTTCAGTCTGCAGTTAATTCCCTCAGCTGTGATTTCAGAACTCACATACAGACTGGCCCTGATTTCATGTTAAACCAGTGTGATTATAACTCGGCATTCAGAACGAGTTTTAGTCAGATCTGGCAATTCCAATTTATTTTCTCTATCTTTCAGTGCTCGTTTTCTATCAGTTTCTGTAATTGCGTTGTATACTGTCCCTTCCATGTTTGATGTTAAAGTGGTAGTATTGCACTTCTATAAAGTTGAGGGACTCACAAGCGACAGATTAAATAAAGAATGGTCCTAATCTGAGATGACCTGACCTTATTCCCTAGTATGGGTCAACAACAACTACAAAAACTACCTATGTACCTTTTCCATTATGCAGCTCATAAAACCCTCCCTGCCATGAAGCCCACTTTTTGTTTGTAAGAGTTTCAAGCCAAAACTGAGACTACTCTATTGACATCATCAGAGTTATATTTTCAACTTTGGAAAGCTCCCTGTTAAACCACAGAAAACATCATCCCTCTGTTTGCAAAAGCAGACGAGATGTCCTGGTGATGAGTAAACTGAACTTCCTGTGTAAAAAGATTGGAGAGCTCTTTTAAGTAGAAAATAAGTTCAGGTTTTGAAAGGTGATCACTGTACCGGTGGTACTGATGAAGTCCACCTAAAATATGCTGTATGCTGGACATAGTGGTGCTTTGAGCTAAATGCTACCGCCAGCATGGCAAAATGCTCACAGTGACAATGCTAACATACTGATGTTTAGCATGTAAAATGTTTACCATATTCATAACATCTGGTAAGATGGTAACATCTGTGATGCAGTGTGATGCAGGGATGATGTCTTTTTGTAGGCCAACCCAGAAGATGGCACCCTGGTTCCCTGGACAAGAAGCTAATAGGATTTTTCCATTGGATTTTGGATTATTGCAGAAAATAAGCTCTGTGGCGAACAGTTTTATGATACTTCCATGTTTTATTCAGCAAGATAACTTTCACAAATGAAAAGCTCTATTATGATTTCTGAAGCATAAATGTGATCGCTTAAAGTAAAAAGCTAATGTTTGTCTTTAAACAAACTACACTACGGCGTACTAAATGGTGAGTGTTTACCTGTGCTCCCTTGCTTTTGCGTGACGAGCTGACAGCAGAATAGGCGGGTGTGTTCAGATCATCAGTGCTGATGTTGTCCAATGTGTCGCTGAGGCCGCTGCTCACTGAGCTGCTGTCGTCCCAACTGTAGGAGGAGAAGGAAGGGAAGAATAGAGGTCAGTAGGGTGAACGTTCATTTTTTATTTGGAGCCTTCCAGTTTAAATGCAACAGTGATAGTAATACTGACAGGTGCAGTAATAGCATACTGTCTACACTCAGTCTGCCATCATCGTTTCTTACTCTAATTCAAACTTTACTCTACATGTCGCTGTATGATTGCAGAAACAAGAGCTGGAATGAGGCACATATATAATTTTCTCAGTGTCCTATCAGCAGCTCGGCTGTAGATCATTTGTAATTGCTCAATTTGTCTCTTCAAGCAGCTGTGCTCCTTTTTTGCCCCCCATTGACTTATGGGTATTTGAGTTCTTTTTTGAGAGAGAAAAAACAGGCATTGGCTCATTAATTGTTGAGCTCCTCATTAACTCTGAGTGTGTGGAGGAATAAAAGGATCTTCATTAGCATGTCATTATTTAGCTGTTGTGGAAGGCTGACAGACACCGAGAGCCCCCAAAATGATCCAACAGCGATCATTTCAACACACACTCTGTTTAATTACAGCAGAATTACAGCTCGAAAAACTCTCAATATGTTTCTCTAATCTGCAAACCCATTTTCACCTATCAGAGACAATAAATCACCTTTAGTAATAATATATTAGTTCTTCTTCTCTTTCATTTCTCACACACACACACACACACACACACACACACACACACACACACACACACACACAACATGACAGTGCTGCAGCTGTGACAGCTCACATACACATACACAATGCAGAGACATGCAGAGTCCTCACAGACACTAATTGGTTTCCATGCCAACATGTCAAGTCTCATCCGTATGTGCGTTTGCCTTTACGTGCGTCTGTGTGCGTCTGTGTGTGTGTGTGTGTGTGTGTGTGAGAGAGAGAGACAGAGACTCCACCCTTAATTTGCATGACAACTCTGACCAAACATCCTTAAAGAGTTTCATTTAAATCTGGAAGGAAAAATGAAGGAGTGGTGAAGCTGGGACAGAGAGAGAGAGAGAGAGAGAGAGAGAGAGAGAGAGAGAGAGAGAGAGAGAGGTAACGAACTGGCACAACCACACACTGTGATCGACATCACAGTGACAGATATCAAAGAGTTTTATACAAACAGCTGACAACAGCTCCTTAAGGACATTGATGTGAATTCTCAGTCCGGTCCAAAACACACCCTGCATTTGAAATATTTTTTATTTTTTTTAAAATAAAAATCTGAAACAACTTCCAGAAGCTAATTACTCTTTTTCCTCAGCAAGTCAATTCAGGCTCGCCATCTATAATTCATGGCAGACATAGATGAAACCCGAAGGCAGGCTGAAAATGAGAGAATAATGACTCATTTTTTAAAAGGCACACAGAAGAGGAAGGGAGGGAAATGTGAGCGAGCTGGAGATGTGGGGATGTGTACAATAGCTGTCCGTAGAAGATAATGGCGTTATTGATTTTCTAAAGTTTGTTGAGAAAAATCAATAACCATAAGAGTTGTTCTGCTTTAAACACCCATGCCGTTCATTAGATATTCTGCATTAGTTTATTAAATGGAGTGTTAATATCATAATGAAAATGAGAACAAAACAAACCTGTTAACATGAAACATTCTCGCTATCATATATACATATATATACAAATAGTTTGCTTGGAACAATAATGTGTTTTTTCAACAAAAATTTATAATTTCCACATTAAAACTGTTAAAAAGACATTTAGTCCTTCTACCTCATAAAAAATTCCAGACTCTATGAATATGCAAATTTTGTAATTAAAGTTTTAAATTGCAAACTGAACCAGAATTGACTATTTGTGATGTCACACATCATGCTCATAGGCTCCACCCCTTAAAAAGATTTTTTTTCAATGAGCACAGAGAACATTTCCACTTTCAGCAGATGAATGTGAAAACATCCTTCTGCAGTCAAACTCAGCACATACATCATTCAAACAGCACACTGTAGGGACAAGAAAAACTGATTTTTACAGGAGGGGGACTATAAGTTTCTGTAGTGATGTTGCAAGAGTCTACGTGCAAAAATTAATAGATGGCCTATATTCACCTGACACCTGTAAAAGGTTTGTAATGAATGTAGCGCAGAGCAGACACCTTGCAACCCAGTTGTCCACTGGTGCAGTACAAAATTGATTTGCTCTTATGACAGATTTCGAATGAGCAGCATTTATCTTCACGGCCAAATTCTGACCGGGTCTTTGACTCAAACTGCAGGCTCTGCTTCAGGATGGAATATCATAGCTGTGTATAATATGTTAAAATTATGCATAATTTCAGGCTAAGAAAAGAAAACATTCCATTTCTGTAAGTCTTTTTTTTTTAAGTGGCTGAAACAGGCAAGAGAAAACAGGTAACGGGGCTTTGTGTTATTGAACATCACAACAAATTTCTTATTTCTGCCAGCCTTTATCATTTTGAGCTTTCATTTTTCTTCAATTCAAAGCCATTATTGGAAAAGCGCCACAGAGATGGATGTTTAAAGCACAGAGTACCTTGTCAGATGAAGAATAAATGCCATCCTTGCTGTCAATCTGAGCTTTACTGTCATGTATCTACAGCTTTACTGCAGTTCTTTAATAAAAAAAAAAAAGAAGCTGCTGTTGCGCTGCTGATATCAAACAAGAGTCGAGCCGAGTGTTTGAGGGAGTGTGTTCTGCACACACCAGGCTTTTGCAAACAAAGCCTGTGGAAATCGATGGCTTTGAAACATGCCTGGCTTGTTTCTCTTTAATCATTTCCTCTCATCTGCACTTAAGCCTGTCTTTGCAGTCGAGGGCAGGACCGTCTGACTGCTCCTGACTCGTTCCAAGAAGACAACAGTGAGTTGAGGAATATATTTGAGTGTAAAGGTTAAATGTGCAGTTGCCGCTGGGCGGGGTCTTTAAGTTTTGCCAGTGACAGGAGCTGCCGGGTCACCTTGACTATCTGATTTAAAGTTAGTCCTCTGCTCAGCTTTTCCTGCCTCAGAAGTGACAGGGGAGCTGCGGTGCACTCTGCAGCTTCCGCTGAGACCAACCTTCAGTGCCGGACTGACAACAGGGGCAGACTGAGACAAATTTAATGCTCGCAACAAAATGAATCAGTCCAAAGTGACTTGGCTGTGCTCCAAAACACGGTTTTATCCCGCAGACCTACAGAAAGCCCTGTCTTCTATTTATTTGGCATGGAATATTGTTTCTGAGAGCATGAAAGAGATAAAAAAAAGAGTGAGATGAAGAGAGGAAATTTAGGAGAGATCAAAGACACAGATGGTCTTTTCTGAGTACTGATTGCTCCTTATGCCTAATTGCACATCTCAAATATCATTCAAGCTTCTTTTAAAGTGAGAAAAGGATAATTTTTTTCCACAGCACTATTAATTTCCTCCAAACTGAGACAAATTGAAGTTGATAACATGAAGTGCTGCGCAATGGGTAATACAAAAAGGTGCATTGTGAAATAGCATGGAGGGGATGAATAGTCGTGGAGTCTATCGTCATAATGTGAGAAAGCAGAGGCAGATGGCTTTGAAGGAGCTCACTGACTTCCAATTCTTATCTAAACACGAGAATAATCTTGCGCAGTTTCCCCTGGCTGCAACATATCGCTCTTTCCTCCTACGGGTGATCTCTCTAATACAATATTGAAAATCTTCTTTCTGTTAAATTTGTTTTAATCATATTATCCACAGTTCAGACTATTTCTTGGGTAATTCTTGCTTAATTAACATAATGAGTTACATTGAATAGCTCTTGGAGACAATCACAAAGTAAAGATGCCCTTTGGCTTTTGCGTTTTTTTACTTTACTGTAAATGTAATTCTTTAAGCAAAAAAGTTAAGTTGAGTTAGTACAATAGAACAAACCTGCTGCTCTGTGCTGAATGGAAATAGATTATCTAGAGGAAAGTCAGGTGAAGAAGGCGTGGACATATTTTCCATGAAACCTTCAGACAATACTGTAGCCAAACATATACATGTACTGTCCATTTTCTCAGCACTTTCCCTGCAATTACCATGAAATGTATTTACATTTTCTATATAGTAGTTTTCTTTGTTTGTGGCGGGGTCTGCCTCACAGGTGCTGGCTTTGACTTGTGGAAATATATGTGGAAACTACTTGGCCATCATGTCCATCATGAAATTCCTTTATAGTAACTCTTATTATTAACTTCTCTTTTTCTTCATAAAAACAAAGTTATTTTGTTGTTGCCTGCATTGTTGGTCTTTTGTATTTCTGGCAATGTAGCTGCTCAACAAGTGTTTGTTCCCCTTAGAATTCTGGGACCTGTAGTATTAAACCATCAGCATGTCACCATCACCATCAAGTATCACAACAATAACCAGAACTAAAATCCTAAGGATTGTGATTTTAAGATAAAATCAAAAATAAGACCTAAAGAACTAGAAAACTGAAAGCAGAACAGGTTAAAAGACAGTTAAAGATAGAGGACAGTGGTTGTGAAACACCTTCAAGATGCCAATAAAACAGAGATTATTAGTACCAGCTCCCTCTATAGTATAGAGAGCACCTTGAAACTCCAATCTCAAACTAGAAAAGGTCAGAAAATGAATTCCGAATGCCAAATACCTCCACACACAGTGAGGTAATAGTTGAGTCATCGATATTGATCAATATCGCCATAAACCCTGCAGATAGGGCAGGGGAAACCTTTATTACTGCACTCTCGGAGCTCCAGCTACTTCAGTGGAGCTGCTCAGCCAACAGTAATAGATGACTGTGTTTTGTCTGTCTGAATGGGAAGCTGGGGACTGCTGAAAAAGAGCATCCGTGCTCTGTGGAACTTCCTGGGATAAAGGGTTGATAAAACAAAAAGAAAACAAAAACACAGTGCCCCTTCTCCTGAGAGCCCGCCTGACTGTAACGGGCTGAATATTTCATTGGACCGACTCTCTGGATCAGCTCCAATTGCTCTGACAGAACAGAACTGTGGCTAGCCAAGCTCCTCCCCTTAGACCTGCACGCGTTCGCTTGCACGTCACCATAT